AATTTTTATTGCTATATTATTCTATGCTTTTTTAAATTGTTAACAAAATTTTAAAACAATGATACTTAAAATTTGCATGTAAAGATAAATTGCAATTGCTAAAGAATGTTATATTTTCACAATTTTTCTATTTAAAAATTATAAGTATTCAATTACATTACGTACATATGTTAGTTTTTATAAACATTTCTCAATTGTCAGCAAACTGGCAATTTTCTCGCGACTTACATTGCATTATCGATAAATCAACAATATTTCTGCTTCAGCAATGATAAATATATTTTGATTTCGATTAACAATTTCACGCGCAGATATAAAAAAATAAAACAAAGCAGTTAAAAAGTGATAAAACCACGATAAAATCTGCTAAATTATAATATAGATTTAAAATATAATACAATTATAAGCTATATATAAGTTATAAATGTCGCAAGAATTGGACATCGCTATTTTTTATGGACAAAATAATTGTGAGCAATGAAAAATTACTAGTTCGTGTCATTAATGAAATTAGCACCTGTAAATAGTAATTGCTATTTAAATCTTTTCTTTTTATAAAGTATATAAAGTGAACAAAAGTTGATAATTTTTTTAGAATGGTATATAAATATCTAAAAACACAAGATTAAAATTACATTAAAATAAACATTGCAGATGTACAATTTTTAATAAATTTTTTTGTGTTTAGAAAATAAATCAATAAAAAAAATACACGCGAACTCATGGAGATTGTCGTAACACCGTTGAGCAAATCTAGACATTTACTTTAATAAACAATGCTTTATATTCTGTGATAAATAATAACATGCATATATAATAAGGAATAAAAATTTAAGAACAATTACAAGGCTAGATCGCGCAAATTCGAGATAGTAAACGCACAGGTTTCTTTAGAGATAATACAATAACTCCAAGCGCCTGCTTTACTTCTATCTCCTTCAGCGAATTCATACTCAAAGTATTCAGACACTCGTCGGGATTCACTAAATTTATGCCTCTATGGCTAGTAGCGAAGTAATAGTTTCTTTTTCAATTTAGAATGAATAAATTATAATTTGTGGTATGTGCAGTGTATAAATATAAGATAATAGTTCCTTAAAATAATCAAGTTCCATGGCTACGGATTTGTGTTTCTCATTATACTTGCAGATAACACAGGACAAGGAGTCTCGAGCTGAAGAAAATAATCCAAAGCTTCAAGGCAGCTCGATATGTTTCGTATAGTATCGGCTGTGATGGCAATGTCATTTTCCTCATCTAGAAAGATGGACATAAAATAATATCGTTAGAATGAGTAAATTATAATGTGTGGTATAAATAACAAGATAATAGTTCTTTAAAACAATACTTCGGTTTTCAAAATTACTATCAAAAATTATAATATCTACAAAAGAGACATATCAAAGGCGCAATTTTATTGAATAAACTAAAATTTAATTTATTTTACAAAAATAAATTTTGTAATTATCGCGTAATTTTGTAACTGGTTTTTATTATGATTAAAATATTATTGTAATTGCATAGAATATAAATATTAGATAATTAGTTATTCTATGAGAGATATGCGAGTACGATTTATCTTTTTACACAGAATGAAATCAGTGTATTAATGAAAGGAATTATTGCAAAGTTAAATTACATATTCGATTACGCGCTTAGGCATGATCTGCAATGTAACGAAAACTACTTTACTGAGATAAAGCTATAGCAAATTTTTGTAAATTTAAACATAATTACCTATTATTAAGCTCTCTGCGACAGCACACCATTGAATAACAAGACCGGGTTTTTTCGATTCTTTTCTTTGTTCAATCAATCTTTCCACAGCAGAATTTGCGAAACCATAATTGCATTGATTCTTATTACCTCGGCCAGCTGTCATGGACGAAAATACGACAAAGTATTTCAATTTTGGGAAATAATAATCAAGTACATCCAAATTTCTTGTTATGTCGATTTTAGGTAACATCACTGCTTTGAAGTCGGCCTCTTCTAAATCCTCAATAGCCTTATCACGCAGAAAGGCTGCCAGATTGAATATACCTCCTATTGGAAATAGCCCCGATATCTGGCTCTCTGTGGTCATGCATGTGACACCAAGTAGTGTTGTAAGATCGTGCTTGTAATGGACAACTTTAATGCCGTTGTCCTGCCAGCGTTGCTCGCACCATTTCCGATATTCCGTGCATTTGTCCGACAAAGCTACAAGAATGATGTGTCTTGCACCGCGGATGATCAACCAGTTGACTAGTTCTAAACCGAACTCACTGATTGTGCGATCACCGACTATCACGTACGTTCTACACGGGTTCATGTAAACACGTCGCACGGCATAGATTCCTGGGTCCACTAATTCAGCCTCACTTACCTGATCGTCATGGATTTTCAGTAGTACTTTTTTGAAATCACAAAAATCGGTCTGATCTGTTTGGCATTTAAATGCTTTTTCAAGATCGTACTTTGAAAACACTTCGCTCTGTAAAGGACGTACGACGTTGTTATCAATTCCTTCCTGAACGAGCTTTACCACTTTCTTTTTTTCCGACAAATTTTTGTGTAATAAATCTGTACAGCGGTTTATATAGTAAAAGAATTTATCTTGTACAGACATTGTACTTTCGTTGTTCGTTAAATCAAGAAAACGACCGTCAATTGCGAGGCATTCTATGGTATCTTGTAGTTTCTCTTTTGGCAGCGAGTTCAGTACCACATTAACTCCACGTTTTTCCGTCTTTGCAAGGATAAATTCTACGAAATGTTGGATATTGCCGATAAACTCATCGGTCAATTTCGGAAAGACATCTTTGATATATTGTCTTTGTGCTTGCGTATAAACGGTAGTGAAAACTGTGCAACCGGCGTGTAGAGCGATAGTAATTGCAGCTTGGCTAATATGGTCCGCACCATTGTGAATCAAAATACTTTCTGTGGATTTCAGGTCACCCCGTACAAACAGTGCATAATAGCTAACCACATAAGCGAACGGTATCGTCGCCGCTTCTTCCAATGTCCATTTATCGGGTACGTTCCAAAGGAAATTCCGATCTGCCAGCACAGTGCTCGCCAATCCTCCGGTTTTGACTATTCCCATATATCTGTTGTTAGCCTTGTCTCTTCCAGAAAACTCACATCCCAGTGTCGGCCCAATCACGTCATAGTGGTCGTCCATTGTTGGTTTTAAGACACCTTGCGGTGATATTGTGCTGTTTGCTAACGATACATCTCTGTCGTTTGTATGAAATTTATTCATTAATATCTTTTATTATTTGTTTCATTATTAGTTAAAACAAATGAGAATGAAGCTTGCTAAAACTTACTCTTTATTAATCGCCGCGTAGTACACTTTGCAGATGATCTTGTTTGAATTTGATTTGGGCATGTAACAATTTAATGGACTCTCAATCCATATCAATTTGTGCAAATTATTTTCCATCGCAGTGCCGACATAGGCGTGTGCCACCGAAAACTTGCTGCGCACGGCATCTAATGGTAAATATCGATAGCTGCCCCATTTATTATTTTTATACACATTGGCTACTAATCCCTTGCATAATTGATTCTTATAAAAGTTATTTGTCAATATCTCAGCTTTAAGATTTAAAGGTTTAGTATGTATCTGATCATAAATGTACCGCGTTTTAACAGTGCAATATTCTTTTCGTATGCAATTCACTAATCCGATAATACCTGCAACGACAAAATATTTTACTAATGTATTTACAATTGATTGATATTAATGCGTTAGAACAATTGAGGAAATTATTCTTAACAGTATATTTATTGTTTTATTATTGATTATAAATATTATTCTATATTTTTGGTTTATTTTATATAAAGAATAATTCGGTTTTCTTTTGCAATTTTTACTGTATGCTGTTAAATATTATTATGCAATTACTGAAACAAACATTTTTACAGCAATAACGTTAGGATTTCTGTAAGATTTTTGTATGATCGAAAACACTCACAAGATTGTTGTTTGTTATAAAAGTGACAATTGAATCTCTGTAAATTCATTGAATTGTCCAATTATTTTCTAAAATAATATAGGATTGAACACATTCAACTGTGTATATGTAGTTTTAATTATTATTAATTTATTTATTTCATTTTTTATTTTTTAATTTTTATTATTTGAATATTTATTATTATTTAATCTTACCATTATTATTATTAAATTTTACTTTACTCTCCTCCATTTTTTTGTTATAACATATGAGAAGTACATTTTGATACTCTTTATATGCTTTCAAATCCTTTAACCAATCTTTCACATCATTTGTTATAAATATATTTTTAACCTTATTTTTGTTCTTTTCCTTCTGTTTCAACAATATATACGTCCTTTTTGCATCAATATATTTTGCGACCAATACCACATTTGTATAAGACGATATATCTAGTGATTTTTCTTGTTCGGCAGTTTCTTCTAAAAGAATGAAACCCTCGGGGCTTAAAGCATTTATCAAGTTGCGGAGAACGATGTCAGAGTGGTTTGATAAAACATCCGCTGCTATAACGAGATGAGCATTTTCAGCGGGGGGTACCTTGCTTGCATCCGTTGCCACAATCTTACACTTAAGGTCCTGCTCGCTGTATTTCATGTGATCATTAAAAGATGCAATAGTCACTGTCAGGTTGATCTGAAATGACAGAAGTTTTTGCAAATAATGTGAATGAATGTAGTATTTATAACATTCAAATATTATATGTGTGATTACTTTTTTTTAATATAAAATACAAAATGTTTTCAAAAGTTCGAGAAATGGTGAAGACTGAACGTCCAGAACAGAGCTTATCTTTCACTTTTTCGACCTATTAAAAATATTCTGCGCGAATATAAAATTTGGGGATAAAATAAAAAATTATCATGAAACACATTTCCAATTTTTTATGTGTTTTGTTGGAATTCTCATTTCTTTACTAATTCTTTACTAATATTTCAGCAATTCTTAATACTTTTCAAGTATTCCTATCAACACACTTCAAAAATTGATCATTGCTTAATTATTTTTTAATGCTGCTATTTATTTTACAATCTAACATTTGAATATAATTTTTCAGAAAACTTTTCTTTAATTCCTAAAATTATGACAGTACTATTTACGGAAATCTAGTAATTTACTTACGGTAATCAAGGGTTCAAGGCTACGAAGTATATTGCGTACAAGCGGTCCTAAAAGTGATTCTCTAGCTCGTTTATCAGCGACTTCTACAATTTTAATTTTGTGCGTTGTCAGATTCTCGCACATGATTTGCAACAACACGGTAAGTGCTGTATTATCCTTTTGGCTGTTCTCGGAATCTTGTCTGTTGTTCGGAATGTCATTAGGACCAAATTCATAGGGCACGAAATGATATTGTTCATATTTGATATTGCTTTGAGGCTTCTGCCACCAAGGTGTCAAAGTTTCTAATCCTTTAATACTAATACTACTTGATCTGATACCAAAGTATTGGTAATTATATATCGGCAAAGTGTAATTTTGTAATAATTCAAGTTTGTGTTGGAGAGGGTTAATTGCGAGTTCCTGAATATACGATATATACTGTGGTTCGCGACTGATATACAGCAAATTGTTAAATTGAAACATACTATTTATGTACGGTATCCATTTACCAGGCCACATAAGTTTACCGTATTGACCGCTATTAGAACAATACTTTATGCAACTTAAATTGTTGTCTTCGTATCCGCGTAGACTTAATTCCTTGAAAATATGCTTCTCGTTTATAAAATACATTTTTAATGTCAAAGAACTAAGTATATCGGATAATGGAAGCGTCCATTGACGTTCTGCGATAGAAAGTTCATGGATGTATCCGCTAGCGATCATATCTACCGATTTGTCTTCGAAAATCTCAAAAGCACCCGTGTTCTTTGAAATGCTTATTATTAATTTGATCCATTTCTTTTTTGACATAAAAATGATATGTTGAAACCGTACACGCTTAAAGACCACAGGCCACTGGTCAAACGTCGTATTCTGCATTGATGCAAAAGCTTTCCACACCAAATATAGACAAGTAGTTTGTGGAAAAATCATTTTTCCGTTTATCTTATATCCCATTGAGACGTGGCTTATATTCGACAAATCTATTTCAATGTACTTTCTCCATTGTTCCATTTCATATCTAGGTACATTCCACCATATGGAATGATCCCATCTAATCAGATGTCCGATCATTGGTGTTCCGCGACCGACGGGAAAGCTTAACGGCGTATACAACTTTGAGATGTCAAGTTGTACGCCGGCCATGTACAGTTCACCTATTGCGAACAATAAAGAAGTAGCGTTGATTGGATCATTCTTGTTTTGCAGACTGATTTTAGTTACCGTTTTTGGCAATAATTTGTAAATATCGTATGACCATAAATGCGACATCATATCGATTATTATCGCATTGTCTGGAATATGCTTAATCGTCTCCAGAAACAGTATAGGCGATGACATATTTTTTGCGTGATACTCCGCTGAGTTTAAATGACGGAGTTGATTTTCTTCCGTAACTTTGGGATTTATTGAACTAGAAATCCATTTGGACGATCTTGGTTTTGGTTTTGTTATGATTTTCTCAATTGCGGCAATCAATTGAGATTCGATCTCGGCCATGTTTTTGCTATGAAAAGCAACACCATAACTGTTAATATTTTGAAAAACAATCTCTTTGCCAATTGTTTTAGGCAATTCTTTTACGAATGTTTCTATTTTTTCGGAAGGACCGGAAATGGTAAAAGAATGTGTAGAATAGTGACAGATATAAAGGATGATATCATGGCGGATATCAGTAAAACAATACTTCTTGATATCTTCCCAAGCCAAACAGACTTTCTTCATAGTGCCTGATAACAGATTGGAATATTCTGTTTCTGTTGCTGCATATTTGATTGTTTTGCTGCTATTGCACGCCGTTAAGATAGTTTTTTCCAGTGTGAATTCTTCACAGTCACAGTATGCACAACAGAGTTCTCCAATAGAATATCCGATCATGCCATCAGGAATGATTCCCATTGACTTCAACAAATCAACGAGAGCGATTTGGATAGTCACAATCGACAGGGTAGAATTAACTATGTTTCGGCATGATTTTTTAGTGCCATCTAAAATGTATGTCATGAGATAAATGCCCATAGGAAGTAATATATCTCTGCATTGATTCAGACTTTTTCGAAAGGGTTCGATGAAAAGTAATTCGGAACTTATGGACGGCCGTTGTAAACCTAAACCGGAAAATATAAACCAGATGGGACGTTTCATATCTTTGTTCTTTCCGGTCAATTTACGGGTTTTATCGCGCTGCAGTATTTCGTAGCCGCGGATTATGTGTCCCGGTATGTTATTGGCATGCACAGCATGTAATAATGAAATAAACTCTTTATCATCTTTATGCTTCTTTGCATTGTCTAGTAATACGTGTACGGCTTTCTTCGTACGACCCGATACGACGAGTAATTGAAGCTTTTCTAAATTTGATACTGGTGGCTTCAACTTCGAATTACTGTGAAGAATGACGTGTACGTTATTACCACTAGAGCCAAATGCATTTATACCGACAAAACCACCATTCCATGACATATGTTCAGCGACCACTTGCAAACGTCCATTGCACTCGGAAATATTCGAGTTTGGGGTATTGAAATGTAAGTTTGCAGGGATTCTGTTTGTTTCCATCGCGATCAAGACTTTAATAACTGAGCACAGTCCGCTGACGGCTTCTGCATGACCCATGTTGGATTTTACGGAGCCTATGTATAGTGGTTTCTCCTTAGTGCGATCTTGGCAAAACATTTCATTGATCGATTTGATTTCTTCGTCTACTGTATCGATACCATGGGCTTCTACATAAACCACATCTGCACGTTTAATCTCCGCTTCTTTGTATATTTCGCGTATCAATTTGTTCAGCATTTCTCTGCTAGAGGCCCCGCTGTACTCCAACGTGCAATCATTCGTATTCGTTTTCGTGCGAATTACCGTGGCATATACTCTGCGTGCGTCTTTTTTCTTCTGCAAATATATCGCTACCACTGCTTCAGCTCTCACGTAACCATCATACGTGCTATCGAACACTTTACATTTACCATCTGTGGACAGTACTTGTAAACGTTCCAATTGAAGTGAGTACCTCGGTTCCAGTATAAGGTTCGAACCAGCAACAATAGCGGCATCGCATTCGCCGGTGCGTATCGCAGTAACTGCTTGATGCAAAGCGAACAACGAACAGGCTGTGCCATAATTGGGTCCAATAAATTTAAATACCGAGGAGATGTTGTTAGCCAACATTGATCCATAACATCGGAATTCTGCAAACGAAGCAATTTCATCTCAACAATATGAAATCTTCGGCGCTGCAATTTATTTGCGCCATAAAAGTATTATTACTAATAATGTAGTATTTTTGTCTAAAACTTTGAAAGATTGATTTGTTAGATTTTTTATTTTATGATTTCAAAAGCAAGTTCTTAAGAGGTTTTTTCAAAGCGCATAAATATAACGAAGCTACAAGTACTTATAAGCAATAAATATAACGAAGCTACAAGTACTTATAAGCAATGATACGCAGACAAATTACGAGTATATTTGCAATCTCGAGATTAAAAAAATGCTTCTTTTTTCTCCAAATTATATAATTTAATGTAATAATTTATTGTAATTTATAATAAAAAATTTTCGATTCAGCTAACACAATTTCTAAAAAATAAAACCAAAATTAAAAAATTAAAATTTTAATTGATCGATTTCAAGGTATTTCTATATATTAAATACATGTCAATTTATAACTTTATAGCAGAGTTAATGTTAGATTTTGGCTTGACAGAAAT